GAGATGCAGCGCCTCGGTCAACTCCACAGCGAAAGCTCTTCTGATACCATGTCAAGGTGCTGAGGGCAAAGGAATCTCGTGTGGTCCTGCTTTCTTGTAAACCCTTTGCTTGAACTTCTCCTCACACAAGTATGACGCTGCAGTTTCTAGCTCCATGAAAACAGATACTTCGTGTGTGTTTCCCCCCTTTTTAATCTCTTTTGGAAGAAAACAGATGTCTGCTCAACGAATGTTTGCTGGAGAGGTTATGGAAACTACAGTAATGCAGAAAATCTGAGTGTCCCCAGAAGGAGTTTAGTGACAGATTGAGAAAGCTGATGAACAAAGTCTAAAGCAGCTGGGCATGGTGATGCATTCTGCTAATTATAGCACTGAGAGGCAGAAGCAGGCTGATCTCTATGAGTTCAAGCCCAGCCAAGACTACATTTAACATTTAAAAAAACAAAACCTTGTCTCAAAACACAAGAATATCTAAAATAGTATTTCTGCTTTCAGCTATTTTAAGTTGACCTTCATGAGCTGCCCACTTGCTGTAAAAGAGGAACCAGCAAAGGCAGTGCTTTAAGAAGTGAGTGCAAGTCGGCCGGGTGGTGGTGCACACCTTTAATCCCAGGCAGAGGTAGGCTGATCTCTGTGAGTTCGAAGCCGGCCTGGTCTACAAGAGCTAGTTCCAGGACAGGCTCCAAAGCTACAGAGAAACCATGTCTCAAAAAACCAAAAAAAAAAAAAAAAAAAAGGAAGAAGAAGAAGAAGAAGTGAGTACTATTACTTCAAGTCTGGCCAGGCATCTGCCCTTTCTGTGATTGCTTTCCTGGGATGGAGTTTCCTTTGTCTGAGATTCTGAAAGATTAGCAATTCTCATTGTTTATTTCCCCCTAAATAATAGCTTTCATTCTTAGCCATAGGATAGAAGTTGAGCCTCGGTGCTCAAGTAGCTTTTCAATCTGCCATTGCAGTGTGTTCATATGCGTATAACTACAGCTTCTTTAAATACTTTTAAACTACAAGTTTAAACTTTCATTTGCTTAACTTTATGTGACATGTTGTTTCTGGGGAGAGAAGTGTTTTGGCTAAACAAACCCCAGATGCTTAACAAAGGAGAATAATCTAGGACCCCTAATCTGTATACTCCGTGTGTACCAAGTGTTCTATAGGGATAAAAAGCCTGGGAAATAGGCTTTGGTTTCAAATCTTGTGAATTAAGCAGTAGTATTGACTTAACCCAGAAGTTCAGAAATGGAACTGTTTGGCGTAAATACATAAGAGCGACTAAGCAAGACTTACGTGTTAGAGGACAGCTGTGGCATTCCTTACTGTCAACTCAGGGCCTCTGTAAGAGCAGTACATACTCTTAACTTCTGAGCCATCTCTCTAGCCCTGCTACTGAAGGTTTCACCACAGATTTCAGGAACTTTCATTCACACTTTCTTTAGTGACTTTGATGCATTATGATGAAAAAAAGCCTCTTGTACATTTTGAGAAGTCAGTAATAATAGTAACTGATAATAATATAACAAATCTATTGTTTCTTCGCATTTCCCACAACATATTAAATAATCAATCTTTAAACAATATCATGTGACTTAAACACAGAAAACCATAAAGAAGAAACAGAACCCTTGTTCTCACCCCCCTTTCACAGAGGAGGCAGTGAAGCCTTAGAGGCTAAGGGACTCCTCAGGATTGTGTAGCTCCCCAGGAGATACAAGCACTGGACTGAAACCCAGGACTCAGACTTGACAGTTGTGTTCTCTTTGTTGTGTTCCTTGCTTTTATGCTAGGTTTCCAGCATCATTTGAACAAATTCAAAACAAATAGTTAGCTAACACATTGCTGGTTTTGTCTCTTCTGAAGGCACATTTGAAAATACAGTTGCGGGGGCTGGAGAGATGGCTCAGAGGGTAAGAGCATTGCCTGTTCTTCCAAAGGTCCTGAGTTCAATTCCCAGCAACCACATGGTGGCTCACAACCATCTGTAATGAGGTCTGGTGCCCTCTTCTGGCCTGCAGACATACACACAGACAGAATATTGTATACATAGTAAATAAATAAATATAAAAATGAATAAATAAGAGATTAAAAAATACAGTTGCGGGGGCTGGAGAGATGGCTCAGCACGGTTAAGAGCACTGGCTGCTCTTCCAGAGGTCCTGAGTTCAATTCCCACATGGTGGCTCACAGCCATCTGTAATGAGATCTGGTGCCTTCTTCTGGCCTGCAAGCATACATGGAGGCAGAGTGTTATATACATAATAAAATAAATTTTAAAAAAAGAACGAAAAATACAGTTGCTAGGGTCAGGTGTGGTGGTGCAAAACCTTTGATCTCAGTATTTGAGAGGCAGAGGCATGTGGGTCTCTCTGTAGGTTTTTGGACAGCCTGGTCTACATAGTGAGTTCCAGGACAGCTAGGGCTACATAGACCCTGGCACAACACATGAACACATAGACATTTGCCATAAGGGGGTGTTTGAAATCAGAGACAATGAAAGATAGATAAAACATCTGATTTCTGGTCAGGATTTCACCACTGACTTGCTTTCTGACTTCCAGCCAGACATGGAATGTTTCTGCCATAATTTGTCCGTTCACAGGCTGCTCAGCAGTTAAGAGCACAGGCTACTCTTGCAGAGGACCCAGGTTCAATGTTCAGTACCCACATGGCTGGGAACAAGTGTTATGTAACTCCAGTTCCAGGATATTTGACTCCCATTCAGGCCTCCCTAGCCACGGAGCAAAAACATGATACCCAGACCTTGTATACAGGCAAAAGAGATCGATGCGCGAGAAATTTACCCATTCATTCTAAGTTCTCATGACAGTCACATGATCTGAAACGTGAAGTGTGGTGGTCTTGTTAGGAGTTTGGGCTTAAGTTGGTTTATTTCCTTAAAATGTGCATGAAGCCGCTGCCAATATTGACCACAGGTACAGTTTGGTGGCCTACTTCTGGAAGTCCATAAACACAAGGAGAGATGTTTTAGAACTTGGTTGTTGGTGAGACTTAAATCCAATGTGTAAGTAGCTAAGGATGACCTTGAATTACTCTTTTTTTTTTTTCCTGAGACAACTTCTCACCAAGTAGCTCTAGCTGGCCTGGAGCTCACTGTATAGACCAGGCTAGCCTCGAGCTCACAGCAATAAGCCTGCCTCAGCCTCCCTGACTTCAGTTTTGACTGACCTGCTGGTTTCAAAGGCAGTACTTATCTGAGGATGACCTTGAACTCCTAACCTTCCTACTTCCAGCTCCTGAATTTGCTAAGATTACAGGAAGGCACTGACACCTGTGTAACCCTAACCTAGTGCTTCCTGCATACTGTGCAAGTTCTTTGCCAACCCAGCCACCCTTCAGTCCTGAGTTTATACCGTCTTTACAACTTTAATTTAGAAGTTCAGCATTTTTTCTTCAGCACTAACATTAAATATAGGGCCTCTTAGTAGGAAAACACTCTACTCAGTTATATCCCCAGCAATCCCACACCACCGCTGTGGCCTTGTTTTGAGACAGGGTCTCATATATCCTAGGCTGGTCTCAAACTAGAGTATAGGTGACTTAGCTAGGGTTTCTGTTGCTGTGAAGAAGCACCATGACCACAGCAACTCTTTTAAATGACAACATTTAATTGAGGATGCTTACAGTTTCAGAGGTTTAGTCCATTATCATCCTGGTGGGACATGGCAGCATGCAGGCAGACACAGTGCTGGAGAAGATGGCGTTCTACATCTTGATCTTAAGTCAGCAGGAAGTAAACTGTGTCACTGTGGGTAGCTTGAGCATAGGAAACCTCAAAGCCCAAGTCCACATTTCCTCCAAAAAGATTACACCTATTCCAACAAGGCTACACCTCTGAATAGTGCCACTCCCTGAATAGTGCTACTCCCTATAGACAAGCATTCAAACACAAAAAACAAAGTCTATGGGGGCCATGCCTGTTTAAACTACTGCAGTAGGCAAGGATAATTTGAAATTCTGACCCTTTGCCTCTACTTTCCTGAGCGCTGAGATGACAAACTTTTACTTCTAGCTTGGTTCATGTGGTGCTGAGTATCAAATTCGGGGATTCATGCATGCTGGTCAGGCATTCTAATTGACCTACATCCCCCTTTAAAATGTTCTGTTTTGAAATAACTTTCTTAAGTTGAACAGGCTGACCGTAAACTTACTTTGCAGCCCAGGTAGGTCTCAAACTTGTGATCCTTCCAACCTTAGCCTCATGAATAGCTGGGACTACAGGTCTATATCATCAGGCCCAGTTGAAAGAAACTTCTTTTTTAAAGATTTATTTATATATCATGTAGGCGTGCATCCCAGAAGAGGGCACCAGATCTCATGATAGGTGGCTGTGAGCCACCATGTGGTTGCTAGGAATTGATCTCAGGACCTCTGGACAAGCAGGCAGTGCAGTGCTCTTAACATCTGAGTCCTCTCTCCAGCCCCCAAAGAGCTTCTTTTGTGTGTGTGTGTGTGTGTTTTTTTTTGTTTTTGTTTTTTTGAGACAGGGTTTCTCTGTGGCTTTGGAGCCTGTCCTGGAATAGCTCTGTAGACCAGGTTGGTCTCGAACCCCAAAGAGCTTCTTAAGTGCCAGTCAAAACCAAGAGGAGGAAGGCATGTTAGTGTATGATAGAAAGGCAAATTTGTCAAATGGAAAGAAGAAAATTAAGTCGACCCATAGAAGCAGGGAAGAAGACAGCCTTTGAGTATGTGAAAACCACCTACAATTCAAGACAAAGTGTGGGAAAGGATATTTTAAATCCTAGTTTCCTCTTGGAACCAGATACTCTTTGGTAGAAAGGCCTAAGAGCCTGTGTTACCCTGGTTTAGCTTGTTGTACTGGTTATGAGAAATAGAGAAGGAACACCTTGGAGATCTGTAGGATTTCCATAATGAGTTATTTATTTATTAAAATAGGTTAACCATAAAAGCCAATTGACTAACCTGTGTCTTTTTGTTCCCTAAGCCCCTACAGGAGTGTGAACACCCCTGCTTCAGCAACAAAGCCTCAGGTCCACATCTTGGGAAGAATATGGCCACTTCTTGGGACACTGTCTTTTTCATGCTGATGATAACCTGTGTTGGCAGCACTGTCTTCTACAGAGAGCAGCAGACTTGGTTCGAGGGTGTCTTCTTGTCTTCCATGTGCCCCATTAATGTCAGTGCCAGCACCTTTTATGGAATTATGTTTGATGCAGGCAGCACTGGAACTCGAATTCATGTTTACACTTTTGTGCAGAAAACAGCAGGTAAGTGCAGCTGGGACCCTTTGCAGTCTGCATGTAGCTATGCCTTAGCATCTTCTTCCAGAAACAGATGTGCTGGGTGTGGTGTGGATTAGAGAACCTTCCAGCTATTGGACATCAATCTTCAGAGATATTATTGAACACATAGTTTAATATGGAACCAAGAGAGACTTGTGGGATAGACTAGGGGTGTAGCTCACTCAGCTAGGGAGCATTTGCCTAACTTTCATGAAGTCCTGAGTTTGATCCACAACAGCACATAAACTGTGCATGCTAGTGCATGGAGGGGGAAGCAGGAGAATAGGGTCATCCTCGGCCACACAACAGGCATTGTCTCATAGGTAGTTTTGTCCAAGTATAGCTGTAACTTATCCATCTTCTCTAAAGGTTAATACCCCAGAGGTCCAGAATATTGAGAATGTTGGCAGTGATTCTGGGGGAAAGTGTCCCAGTAAGTTTTCCCTGCCGTCCTTGGAAAGGGAACCAAGGGGACCTTGAAGACTAACTTTCTCTGAAATGTCAGTTTTCTTTCCTTGGGTTATCTAAAGAGCCCAGGAACTCAGGCGGGAGGACCACAATTCAAGGCCAGCTGAGGTTGTGTGGGGAGCTCAAGGCCAGTCTGGGTTACACAGTGAAACTGTCTCCAAAGTCTATTAACAGTTTGAAAAAGAGAGAGAGAGTTGGGGGAAGGAATAAGAGCTGGAGTTTCACCAGAGAGAGAGCAGAGGGACCGTCAGGGTTGCATAACACCCTGTGGTCTCCTTCCTAACAATTCTGCAAAGCATTCCTCACAGCTCAGCTGGAGACTTTTAATTTACTAAATCATACAGCAATGTCTAGAGATTAGCATTTGAAGTAGTCTAACATCTGGTAACCCTACCCCCTCTCTGTTTCATGGACAAAATAGGACAGCTTCCCTTTCTGGAAGGTGAGATTTTTGAGTCTGTGAAGCCAGGACTCTCTGCTTTTGCAGATCAACCCAAGCAGGTGAGTGTTATGATCGATTCTTTTGTTTCCATGTTGTATATGCTAAGGAGAAAGCCCAGAGTGAGTGCTCCGTGGTTGAGCTCTGTCCAAGAAACCTTTTACTTTGTATTTGGGTCAGCATCTCACTAAGTTAACTCAGCTGACCTTGAACACACTCAGTGGCATTAGAAGGCCTTAAAATTGTGCCCATATTGTTTCAGTCTCTTGATAGCTCTACAATACCCCTGTCATTAAACTCAAGTTGTAAATCTCATGCTGTTCAGTAATAATAGTGAGGGCACGTGAGACCATTTTTCCTTCTTCCTGAGGTTCTGAACTGGATACCCCAGACTCACAAGGAGTAGAAAGAAGGCTAGAAACAGATTTGGGGAGTGGGACAGGTGCCTCAGTGATTAGGAGTACTTGCTATGCAAGTGTGAGGAGCTGAGCTCAGACCCCAGCGCCCATGGAAAAAGTTGACATGTCATTGCTTGACTGCCTGTCACCACAGCACTATGGGGATCAGAGACAGGAGGATTGATGGGGCTTGCTAGCTAGCTGCCAACCTGGCCGGGTGTGGTGGCTCATACCTGTAATCCCCAGCATTTGGTAGTCTGAGGCAGGAAGATTACCAAGAGTTTGAGGCCAATTTAGGCTATATAGTGAAATGTATTTGTTTTGTTTTGACAGCCTGGGCCACAGAGAGACCTTGTCTTAAACAAATAAATAAAACAGTGTGAGCTTAAAGAACTGAAATTTGTTTTCTAGTTGAGCAGGTCATTGGCAAATGTGCTAGGGTCTGAACTAGTGAAAGCAGCTTCATTAGCAGAAGAGGATTTGACATTTAGAAAGGAAGATTGTGTTATGTTTGCTAAGAGGAGGAGTGTGCTGGCTCATGCCTGTCATCTCAGCCAGCATGTGGGAGACTGAAGCAAGAGGAGTAAAGATATTTTGTCTCAACGGGTAGCTTGTTATCACAGTAAATTTTCACTTAATAAAACAGAGGGTTGGGGCTGGAGAGATGGCTCAGAGCTTAAGGATGCTGACTGTTCTTCCAGAGGTCCTGAGTTCAATTCCCAGCAACCACATGGTGGCTCACAACCATCTACAATGAGATCTGGTGCCCTCTTCTGAACTACAGCCTTACATGGAGGCAGCACACTATATTGTATACATAATAAATAAAATCTTTTTATAAATAAATAAATAAATAAATAAAACAGAGGTTGTTTTTTTTTTTTTTCATTTTATTTTGTGTACGGGTGTTTTTCCTATTTTCACCATTGCCTGTGGTGGACAGAAGAGGGCATCAGACACTTCCAGGACTGGAGTTACAGTCGTTAGCTGCCATGTGGGTGCTGGGAATCAAACCTGGGTTCTTATAAGAAAACTAATGCTTTTAATCACCAATACTAATGCCATTCTCTTTTAAAGGGCGCTGAGACTGTTCAAGAACTCTTGGATTTGGCCAAAGACTCAATCCCGAAAAGTCACTGGAAAAGGACCCCAGTGGTTCTGAAAGCAACAGCTGGACTGCGTTTACTGCCAGAACAGAAAGCCCAAGCTCTGCTCTGGGAGGTGATTTTTGAATCTGAATCTTGGATAATGCTGGGTTTTGTTTCTGTTTTTTCCTTTTAAGAAGTACTTGGGAGTGACTGCTGCTTTTAGTATCCCATCATTGCTCAGTTATTGTGGTGACTGGGTAGTCAGCTGGTCATTACATTTTAAATTACCACCCTTCAACTTAAAGAGGTTTTCCTTAAAAAGTTCAAAGTACTCCTTCCATGATATTTTTATTGCATTTATTTGTTTGTTTATTTTGAATGTGTTTGTGTGTGTGTGAACTCAATATGTGCCAAGGTGCAGCATGGAGGTCAGGGGTCAACGTAGAGTTCAGTCACAGCTTCCACCCAGATAATCAGGCTTGGTGACAAGTGCCCTTACCCACTAAGCCAGCTCACCTGCCCTCCAAGATACCATTTATTTGAATTTTCCAAAGGTATAATATAGAAATGGTTTTAAATATACTCTATTGAAGAAAAATTACATATAATGAAATCTGTCTACTTATCAGGATCTGAGCATTGGATCCCCAGCACATCCATAAAAATACCAGGCATGGTGGCACACATCCAAGATCTCAGTGCTGCGGAAATGGAGACAGGGCATCCCTGGGAATTGTTGGCCAACCAGCATAACCTAACCACCCAGGTCCCAGTGAGAAATCCTGTCTCATAAATGAAGGTGACAGACCTTGAGAAAGAAAGCTCAAAGTTGACCTCTGCCCTGCATACATCTGTGCACACAAATGTGTATGCACACCTGCAAATATGCACACACAAAATGTAAATGTACATTTAAAGTACTCAGATAAAGGTGTTTTGACAAATATAGAGGTCTTATACCCTTTTTCAGTCCATTTTCACTACTCTTGAAACCAGGCAACCACAGATTTGCGTTCTCTCACTGTAGATAAGTTTTGTTTCTTCTTATGTTTCATAAAATGAAACATTATACAGTTTATAGTCTCTGGCTTTGTAAGTCTGTTTTTTTCTCTCAGCATAAAATGTTGGGAATATTTTTAAGATATTGTTCTTAAAATAAAAATTTAAATGCAACTTTATTAAACTTTATATTATATTGTATGTATTTAAATAATAAAGATATTACAAGATATATTAAACATTAGATTTCATGTTGTAAAGAACATTTATATAGGCAGAATCTCATTATAATTAAAAATAATCACAGCAGAGTGGGATTCAGCCCTCCAAAGTGCCTCCACCTGAATCGTGTTCTTGTCCTAGTTTAAGGTGAGTCGTTAACAAGGGCTTACTGGGAGCAGGTTTCCTGACTCTCAGCCCATAGGGTTTAAGTTCTTGTCCAAGCATGTCTGTGGAAATTCAAATCCCAATTTTTATTGAAAAGTTTTTTCTTTTTTTTTAAATTATTATTTTTTGTTATTTTTTTTAATTTATTTATTATGTATATGGTGTTCTGGGCACCAGATCTCGTTATAGATGGGTGTGAGCCATCATGTGGTTGCTGGGAATTGAACTCAGGACCTCCAGAACAGCAGTCAGTTCTCTTAACCTCTGAGCCATCTCTCCTTCCCGAAAAGTTTTTTCTTTAGATTTACTTTTTATTTTATAAGTATTTTGCTTGCATGCATTTCTGTGTACCAAACGCATGCCTGGTTCCTATGGAGGTGAGAAGAGGGGGTTAGATCCCTTGAAACTGAAGTAATAGATGGTGTGAACCACTATGTGAGTGATGGAATGGAACCTGGTCTCTGCGAGAGCAACAAGTGCTCTTAACCTCCAGACATGTGCTGTGCCGTGCACAGGCCCACATGAATGCACACATATGTGCACACTCATACACAAAAATCCATAAATGTCCTTAAAAACATTTTAAGGTCATAATGCATGTATCGGTGGCCTATATTTATGAAAAATCAGGAACATTTGTGTAAGGCCTTCGTTCACACCTCTTCAGTAAGACTCCATGAGGCTAGGTGTGAGGACTCCCTAAGTCTCTATAGGCCCTAGCTGTGCACCAAACCCCAGCAGAGGCAGAGTGCCTCAGCTCCTTCTAGGCTTGTCAGCGTTCACCGCTTGACCAGGTGGAGTTAGTCAGGGTGCTAACAAAAATTACAGGCTCTTGATTCAGATGGAAGGGTTAAATATATGTTCTTCCCTAGGTCCAATTGATAATAAATTTAGATGGGTTTCTTTTTTGTTTGTTTTTGTTTTTAAAGTCAGGGTTTCTCTGTAGCTTTGTAACCACCGCCCAGCTAGATGGTTTCTTAAGAAATCCATGCCATGTGCTTATATTTTTTCAAGAAAATTACATCCTTGCCTAGTTCCTCCTCTGGCTTCGGGAGTAAGTGCGCTGTCGTTTTATCTTGGGAAAGAACGAGAGAGAGCTGTTTTCTAAGACACAGAGAACTCAGCCAATGGGATCACTGTTGATGATTACTGCTTCATGGAACCTAGGTTTTTTGCATTTTTTCCCTAGGTAGAGGAGATCTTCAAGAAGTCACCTTTCCTGGTCCCAGATGACAGCGTTAGCATCATGGATGGGTCTGATGAAGGTGGGACAGATGCTGAAATTCATACTGTGGGGAAAGCGGGTGGAGTCAATGGAAGATCCAGTTAAAGGGACTGGGAATAAGGATCCAGCAGGAAAGAAAAAGGAGCTAAGTAAATAGGGAGGGATAGGGCAAGGAGACAATGCTCTAGACATGAAAATTAGAAATAGAACAGAGAGGATAATGCTCTAGAATGTAACCTTTTGTTTTTCTCTCCTTTTAGGCATATTAGCTTGGGTTACTGTGAACTTTCTAACAGGTAAATTAAATACATCTTGAAATTTATCTTTTAGCTTTAACTGGCTTTTACAGTTTTTGTTTATTTATTTTTACCAGGAGGGCAAAGTCTACTTCTTTCTTCCTATACTGTTCTTTCTTTGTTTTGGGGTTTTGTTTTTTGTTTTGTATTTGTTATTGTTTGGTTTTTTGAGACAGGGTTTCTCTGTAGCTTTGGAGCCTGTCCTGGAACTAGCTCTTGTAGACCAGGCTGGTCTCGAACTCACAGAGATCCGCCTGCCTCTGCCTCACTAGTGCTGGGATTAAAGGTTTGTGCCAACACCCAGCTGTACTTTCTTTAAAAGAAGGGGCTGGGCTGGAGAAATGGCTTAGGAGTTAAAAGCACTTACTGTTCTTTCCATAGACCTTGGGTACCTATAATTTCAGCTCCAGGCCTCTAACTTCTGGATAGCCACACTTATGTGTATATAACTACAACATGCATAATTAAATTGAAAAAAAAACATCTTTTTTTAAAAAAAGAAGAAGTTAGGGAGATAAGCTAATTTTATAATCTGCTTTCAAGGCCTCAGCTTCAGCCAACCCTCTGAGTTTACATTAGCCTGCAGCCTCTGGGCTCAGAGAGCAGTCAATCGTGACAAATACCTTTGGTGCACAAAAGCAGAGGAGAACCTCCAGACAGAGTATCTGGATGGCCTGGGTACTCATACCTTGCTCTCATTAACAGGTCAACTGCATGGCCATGGCCAGGATACTGTGGGGACCCTTGACCTGGGGGGTGCCTCCACCCAAATCACGTTTCTACCCCAGTTTGCGGTGAGTCACTTTATTAAGGCCCTGTTGGCAACACACCTAAACAGTATCATGGTGCTCAGAAAGCGGCACCCTGTTTGGAGACATCAGCTCTACCGTGAATAGGCTACGTGGTCAGTGACTGAAGAAAGTGAACCTTCCCCATCTCTGATTTTGGGGGAGAGGGTTGTGGATAGTGGTACTAAAATCCTAATATAATTGCAGATGCTGAAGTCTTTTTGCTTTTTCTGATTTGCAGAAAACCCTGGAACAAACGCCTAGGGGCTACCTCACTTCCTTTGAGATGTTTAACAGCACTTTTAAGCTCTATACACATAGGTGAGGAGGGGGTAGGGAAGAATAATAGTTCACATTGTGTTACTTTTCATAACTTTTTGTTACTGTATCTTATCAGCCTCTGAAAGTCTCTGCCAGTCTCCTCCCTGTCTACTGAAACCTAAGTCATACACCAAACCTGAGAAACGTAGGAGGCATCCTCATTTTTGGCCTCAAAAGTATGTAATGAAAGAGTAAGTTTTTCTGTAGATGGGAGCCTGTGGAGAAGGCCCAGAACTCAGCCAGAGCTCCATACCAACTCCTGTGATCTGGGCTCCAGTGTTGAGAGAGCAGTCTGGAACTGATAAGAGCTAAACCAATGAGAGCTTTTTCTGGGGCTGGTTCTCAGGCTGGACCACCAGGAATGATCTATTCTTCGGCATCACACCTGAGCCATTTACTGCATATCCTTGATCCAGACTCCAGAGTCTTCTTTTACTGGTCACGCGAATAATGTGGCACAGAGACATGGGGCAAAGTTTCCATGTTCCAAAGGGAGTCAGAGAACCACGTCACATTTGAAAAAGGCAGAAGAGGGCTGAAAACATCCAGGACAGCCTGACATCGGTCAATCCTCTATTTTACAGTTACCTGGGATTTGGATTGAAAGCTGCAAGACTGGCAACGCTGGGAGCCCTGGAAACAAAAGGTTTGTCTGAGTACCAGTTCGTGGCGGGAGCCGGTGGGAGTGCTGCCAATCGCAGCTCGCCTCTTCCCTTCCTTGGCACTCATTCTGTGGAGCAAAGGGTTGTGTTGCATAATAGACACAAAAACGGCTGGTGCTGTGATGTGTCCGTCACCTTGAGAGTGAGGGCTGCTCGTATAGGGTAAGAGCCTGTGTCTGCAAGCCTGAAGCTGGACAGTGTGGAGTAGGAACTTGTACAAGCCTTTGTCAGGAAACAAGGTCTGTTGTGTTTGCCAAGTGGAATGACTGAGCAGTTTCCTTTCTGTCTTCACAGCTGGGCACAGGCAGAACTGGCTGCAGTCCCAGCTTTGAGATTGGGAACAAATCGTTGACCTTTCTGTGCCCTGGTCTTCACCTTAAACATGATTTCGGCATCTGATGCACTCCAGTGCCTTGCTCACAGTAAACTAGTACTGGGATGAGGAGCATGTACCACTTCAGTTTACCAAGTATCTTTAATATCTCAACTACCAGTGGAGGAATGTTTCCTCTATTAAAGAAAGAAACTTACATTACTATTTTCTTTATTTCTTTGGGATGTGATAAAAGTTATAAATCCTGCCAAATGTACATATGCATGAAAATTTGCCTCTGATTTAGAGAGTTCACCACTACCACAGAGCTTGTGAAGAATCCATGTCACAGGATGCAGCCAAGGAACCAGTTTCATAAGATTGTGAGGCCCAGATCTCTTGATGATTCCTTGCAGCCTGTGTACTTCTTCTACACTCCCTCTCTCACACGCTTGCTTTCCTGTGTTGTGGTTCTTCCAGGAACTGATGGACATACATTTCGAAGTGCCTGTTTACCAAGATGGTTGGAAGCGGAGTGGATCTTTGGGGGTGTGAAATATCAGTATGGTGGCAACCAAGAAGGTGAGTGGTGTTTCTTCACTGGTTAAAATTCCCTTCATCGTTCATGGTCTGGAAGAGTCCTATAGGAACCTGTTCCAGAGCCCAGAGAGACTTACCATATTGGAAGCACTCACTGTTGGTATGTTCAGAGGCCAGCAAGCAAGGCAGCAGCTGCTCTGCATCCTGTTCTGCCGTGGAGGAGTTGTTACCCGTCTGGTGCAGCAGTGTGAGTTCCTCTTTCAGATCCAGTGTATGCTTAACAACTTCAGTTACAGTAAAACTCAATTGAGATAAGAATCATTCATTTCAGATACTGTAAAAGGCACAGACATTAAAGTAAAGGGGACATTGTGTTTTCCCAGAGAAAGAAACAAGCTTTCTGAATAATTGCTCACAAAGATTGTGAAACCTAATGACGGCAGTAAGTACCACGGTGGCTGTGGCTGTTTTTGGTGATCACAGGTTAAGGGGAGGAGTGAACAGTGAGGTTGAGGAAGGTCATACATCTTTTTTAAGACTTCTAAAACTCAGCCACCTTTTTTGGTTTCTTCAGTTAATTTTATGTTTTTGTCATTTTTAAGATTTATTATTTTGTTCGGGCAGTGTTGGGCATGCCTTTAATCCCAGCACTTGGGAGGCAGAGACAGATGAACCCCTGTGAGTTTGAGGCCAGCCTGGTCTACAAGAGCTAGTTCCAGGACAGCTAGGACTTTTACACAGGGAAACACTATCTCAAAAAAACAAAATAAATAAATAAAAGATTTGTTTTTTTATGTGTATGTATGTATTTTATGTGTTTTGCCTACATGGTTTTTTTTGGGGGGGTTGGTTTTTTTTTTTGGTTTTTTGAGACAGGGTTTCTCTGTGGAACTAGCTCTTGTAGACCAGGCTGGTCTCGAACTCATAGAGATCCGCCTGCCACTGCCTCCCAAGTGCTGGGATTAAAGGCGTGCGCCACCACCGCCCGGCTTTGCCTGCATGTTTGTGTGAGTACTGTGTGTGTGCCTAGTACCCATGGAGGTCAGAAGAGGAAGTCAGGTCCGCTGGGACTGGAGGTGCAGTTAGTTGTGAGCCTTCACATGGTTGCTGTGATCTGAACCCGGGTCCTCTATACGTGCAGGGAGTGGGGCTGGAGAGATGGCTCAGTGGTTAAGAACACTTGCTGCTCTTTCAGAGACCTGGGTTCAATTCCCAGCACCCTCATGATGACTCAACTGTCTGAAACTCCAGTTCCAGAGGATCTAATGCCTCTTCTGGACTCTGAAGGCACCAGATAATACGTGGTGCACAGATATACATGCAGGCAAACACACACGTAAAATAATAACATTTTAAAGAAGCAGCCAATGTTCTTCATTAAGTCATGTCTTCAGCCCCCAGCTATTATTTTGTTGTGGAGGAAATTCCTGGGTTAGCTTGTTCAGCAGGTGCAGCTGTTTCTGCTGCTGCTTCTTGTCTTCAGTTTTTCAGACTTCGAGAACCAGCCGTCCCTGCTCTCATCTTCCTGGAGTGCCCTTTCCTCCCTGAATCTAATAATTAAGAGGGTCTAGTCAGTGCCTTTGTGGACAACTCCTATCTTGAATAGCATAGACCCTACAATACCTTCACTCCACCCTCAGATTGTCCAGCTGTTTCCAGAGCTCCTCCCCGTCCTGGCTGTGCAGGTTTAAACCTCAGCCATAGCTGTGCAGCTTCCACTGCTGCTGCTCACAGGCCAAGGTGCTTGTTCTTCTCTCATTGACCCATCAACTTGCCACAGAAGGTGACTCCCCACATCATTTTTCTCAAGTGATAAACTTTCGCCCTGACAGGGGAGATGGGCTTTGAGCCCTGCTATGCAGAAGTGCTGAGGGTAGTGCGAGGAAAACTTCACCAGCCGGAAGAGATTCGGGGAAGCTCCTTTTACGCTTTCTCCTACTACTATGATCGAGCTGCCGACACACACTTGATTGGTGAGTACATGCCTGGTTCAGGCCACGAAGGAAGCGAATGGGACTGTGCTGGGGAAGGTCAAGGGCATTAAAGGCTGTGCTGATTGGAGAGATTTACTAACTTTTCCAGTAGTGTTATACTAGCCACTAGAATGGAAAGGTGAAGACACTTGCGGTCTTTGGGAAGTGGAAAATGACCTAATGTTCATAAAGTCTGTCTGTTTGAGGCAGGGTTTTACTATGTAGCCCAGGCTGGGATTGAACTATGTAGCCCAGGGTGGCCTGGAATTAGTAGCCATCCCTCTCTCCCAGCCTTCTGAGTAACAGGGCTACACAGATGTGCTTCCATGCCTGACTTTGTATCTGGAGTCTTTTTGCATTTTTTTTTCAGTAATGGGGTTGAATCTAGAACCTCTGCACACGCTAGGCAAGTGTTCTACCACTAAATTATATCTCAAGTCCCCCTTTTGAACTTTTCATTTTGAGATAGATCTAAGTTGCCCAAGATGGTTTTGAGACGGATTATGTACCCTGTGTAGGCCTTGTAATTGTGATTCCCTGCCTCAGCCTCTTGAGTAGCTGTGCTACCAGGACCAGCTTGCTTTATATCTTTATTACAAAACTGTGTGTTAGCTGTTTTGTAATTATGACTAAATACTAAACGAGAGAGACGTTAGAGGGTTTCTTTTGGATCATGCTTTCAGAAGTTTCGGTCCATGATCAACTTCCTTGTTTCTGCCACAGTAAGGCAGAAAATAATGGTGGAAGGACTTAGAGAAGCAAAGTTGCTTTTACATCATGGCCACCTGGAAGGAGGGAGAAGCAGAGGGTGGGGCCTAACTAGAGCCCTCAGCTACACCTTTCTCTTGACCCATGTGCCCCACCTAAGCCCCACCTCCAAAAGTTCCCATTACCTCCCAATTGTATTACCAAGTTATGAATACATCTATACCTTAATTGATGAAGGACATCCCCATGGTTCAGTCACTTCTCAGTGATTGGGGACTCCACTTTCTGGAGACCAAGCCTTCAACACATGAGCCTATAGGAGACATTTCCTATCCAAATCATAACAAATTGAAATACAGTAAATGCACGTATTGCTTTCATGGTTTACCAAACCTTGCCGTGTATGTACCTGTGAAACCTCCCCACATGCAAGATACTATAGCCATCACCCCAGTTTCCTGATCTTTTAGGGATTTTTCCTGTTCATAGAAGTTGTGCTTTTGTAGGTGTGAGTACACACATGATTTGTCATGACTCAAGAGAGATGATTTGCTACCCTGCTTACTATATTTCTAATTCATGTGTATGTGTCTGCATGACTTTCAAAGTACCATGTGTGTAGGTGTCTTCAGAGGCCAGAGGGCATTGAATCCTGTGGGACTAGAGTTTTAGGTGCTTAGGAGCCACCTGATGTGAGTTCTGGAATTGAACCTGGGCCCTCTGCAAGAGCAATAAGTTCTCTTAACCAGTGAGCCATCTTGCCAGCCCCTCCACCCCAACTAAACTTTTAAATGAACCTAGATTTTTATTGTGGTTAAATATATAATACAAAATGGGTAACATGCATTAATCATCAATAAACAAAATAGACAATGTGGATTTGTATTGTACAGATATCATGTTTATCTATCAGTCTTTTATGTTGGGAAGTGTATATTTCCAGTTTTTATTACTATATGTCACTGGGATAAATGTTCTTGTTTCCTTGACGTTTTGACATTAGCTATTCTGCTTCATTTTAGATTATGAAAAGGGCGGTGTTTTAAAAGTTGAAGATTTTGAAAGAAAAGCCAGGGAAGGTAAGTGTTAGGAAATTCTTGAAGCTGGGCTGTTAAGTGTGGCTGCCAGTGCAGGGCCTCCTGGGACTTCTGAGCCTTCCAGTCTGCTGGAAGATGCTTTAGGCGCTGTCAGAAGAATATGGGGATCTAAGACACTTCAGGGAAATAGAAAAACAAACTGTTTTTCTGAGACAAAGTCTTACATAGCCCAGGATGGCCTCACAATTGCGGTGTAGCTGAGGATAACCTTGGATTCTGTTTTGGTTTCATTTGGTTTGGTTTTTTAAGACAGGGTTTCTCTGTAGCTTTGGAGCCTGTCCTGGAACTCGCTCTGTAGACCAGGCTGTCTTCAAACTCACAGTGATTCACTTGCCTCTGCATCCCGAGTACTGGGATTAAAGGCATGCACTATCACTGCACCCTGAATTTTGATCCACCTCTCAAGTGCTAGGATTATAGGCATGAGTCGCTGTGACTGACTTATGTGATAACAGGGATGGAACCCAGGCTCATGAGGGCTAGGCCGTCATTCTAACACCCAAGCTAGCTATATATACATGCAGCATGGCCCACTCACTTGCTCTCTCTCTTCATTCTAACAACACCTGAGTTAGCCATACACTCAGCCTGGCATATTCTCTCTCTCTCTCTCTCTCTCTCTCTCTCTCTCTCTCTCTCTCTCTCTCTCTCTCTCTGTGTGTGTGTTAGAATAGGTTTATCAGCAGTAATAAAGAACTGAGCACCAGAACGCATGGGACATCCTTGAGAGCGCAAATCTAAAATACAAATGATCTTTTCCTGTGGCCACAGAGAGAGTTACATTATAGTTTCCTGTCCGCTGGGCCTCAGTTGAGTGACTACAGTATGTCATAGAAATTTGAAAAGCAGGTTGCTGAAAGTATAGTTCAGGTGTTGAGAACTTGCTTCGTATGTGCAAGGCCCTGGGTGTGATTTCCAGCAGAGCCTTACCCCTGCTTACCCCACACCCATAACTGGCTAAGATGCACGGTTTTTTTTTTTTTTTTGTTTTTTTTTTTTGGTTTTCCAAGACAGGGTTTCTCTGTTTAACAACCATGTCTGTCCTGGAACTCATTCTGTAGACTCTGCTTGGCTTGAACTCACAAGATTCACCTGCCTCTGCCTCCTGAGTGCTGGGATTAAAGGCATGTACCACCACACCCAGAGAATAGATGACTTCATACTGGAAATATGCAGGTTCTAAAGAAGCTGTAGTCTTGTAGAAGTAACCGGTACACAGATGTATACAGTACACAGTAGACAGCATACAGGAAGCCCAAGTACCAGCTAAATGGAGACATTTTTGCTTACTCAACCCCTACCTACAGCTTGAGAAGACCCTACATCTCTTTGTTGCAAACTTGAATGCTGTTTTCTCTCCCACTTTCAGTGTGCGATAACTTGGAGAGCTTCACCTCAGGCAGTCCTTTCCTATGCATGGATCTCAGTTACATCACAGCTTTATTAAAAGATGGCTTTGGCTTTGCAGATGATACCCTCTTAAAGGTAAGAAAGAGCACTGGATCTTACAGTTGTCTGTCTTGTTGCTTTGGGAAAGAATTTGTCTGGCGGTCAGAGCGGCAGGTGTTCCTGTTTGGGCTGAAGCCAGGGCACCCTGCTAGATACCACAAACACATGAAACACCTGGATGCAGTTATAGTCTCTGAGGGACATGGTGTCCTGTGGACACAAGACAGAAAGACTTGAATATATTGGGGCTGGAGAGATGGCTCAGTGGTTAAGAGCATTGCCTGCTCTTCCAAAGGTCCTGAGTTCAATTCCCAGCAACCACATGGTGGCTCACAACCATCTGTAGTAAGGTCTGGTGCCCCCTTCTGGCCTTTGGCATACACACAGATAGACTATTGTGTACATAATAAATAATAAATAAATATTTAAAAAAAAAAAACAAGACTTGAATATATTCAAATCACATTGTTTATGAAACCAATTTAGAACTCAGTGAGAAGAAGCAGTGAGAAAGAGATGGGGAAACAAATATCCAGAGTACAGTACAAGCCAGTTGGAAGGGCTGTGCTTCCTGAATCCCAGTTCCTCATCTTGACTTTGTGTGCCCTCACCTGCCACTGATTTATGGTTGTTAGAACTTAAGCTGAAGTTTGATCAAGAGAGCACAAGATAAAAAGCAGCTGGTGTCATCATCACACACACTTGTATACGGAGGCTGTGAGGCAGATGAACCTGCCCAGTCTCATCTTGCACAATGATGTTAACACATATGGCTGACTTCAATGTCTCAAGCATATGTAGTGTATCCTGTCTATTCTACATCTGCTGGATACTGAGTCGAATCTCTTCTAACAGCTGTATGTAGCTTGAGGACAGGGATAACATTTTAACCATCGTTGTAAATATAATTTGCAATCAATAGTGGTATAGAAAGTAAGAAGATAAATGATATGAAATTCATAAGATAAATTTTAGAGGGGTTGGAGAGATGGCTTAGTGGTTAAGAGCACTTGCTGCTCTTGCAGAGGACCCAGGTTTGGTTCCAGGACCCACATGGTGGCTCATAACCACCTGTGACTACAATTCCAGGGGATCTGACGCTGCCTTCTGATCTCTGTGGGTACTAGGTACACACATGGTACACATACATACTTGTAGCTGAAACACTGATACACATAAAATATACAACTTTTGTTTGCTTTATTTTTGTTTTTCAAGACAGGGTTTCTCTGTGTAGCTTTGGAGCCTGTTCTGGAACTTGCTTTGTAGACCAGGCTGGCCTCAAATTCATATAGATCTGCCCACCTCTGCCTCCTCAGTGCTGGGATTAAAGGTGTGCGCCACCACCGCCTGGCTACAGGTTTTTTTTTTGGGGGGGGGGGTTTCGAGACAGGGTGTCTCTGTGGTTTTGGAGCCTGTCCTGGAACTAGCTCTTGTAGACCAGGCTGGTCTCGAACTCACAGAGATCTGCCTGCCTCTGCCTCCCGAGTGCTGGGATTAAAGGCGTGCGCCACCACCGCCCGGCCTGGCTACAGTTTTATTCTTTTTATTTATTTAGTTAGTTAGTTTTTTTTTCGGCAGAGGGTTTCTATGTGTAGCCCTAGCTTATCTAGACCTAGCTTTGTAGACCAGGCTAGCCTTGAACACACAAAAATTCACCTGCCTCTCCTTCCTGAGTGCTGGGATTAAAGATGTGTGCCACCACTGCCCAGCTACAATTTTTTTAAAAGTTTTTTTATTTTTTTTTTAAAGATTTATTATATATATAGTATTCTGTCTGCATGTGTGCTTGCATGCCAGAAGAGGGCAGCATATTTTATTACAGATGGTTGTGAGCCACCATGTGGTTGCTGGGAATTGAACCAGGGTCCTCTGGAAGAGCAGCCAGTACTCTCCTTAACCACTGAGCCACTTCTCCAGCCCCTGAAAAATCTTTTTTAAAAAAGGATCTATTGTACAACAGATAGTTTATTACTGATGAAGCAAGTCTGCACGTGCTGAAATTAATGAGGAAGGAGAGGAAGGAGCTTTGCGAAAACAATTTGATAAACTTTTGTACAGAAAATTGCCCCTTTCTGTAATTGAGGGACCAGATCTAAAGTTTTGTCCAAAGCAATAAAGGCATTGAGCTATCAAGACAGTCTGGTGTCGAATGCCTCAGCTGGCTTTTATTAATGCTTAAGGCACAGTTGCTTACATGGACTCCAAAAGCTGAGAATGTGCTTTTCTGTCCTAAATACATTCCCAGCTCTTGCCAGTTGCCTTCCTACCACATCCATAAACATTACATTCTGACTGCCTTGTCAGGTTAGGGAGCATCCAGAGCCTTTTCTGACACAACCTCTGTAAAAATTTCTGGATAGTACGGCTTCCTGGGCCTGAAGTTGTCAGGCATGAGCATGCTGGGTATAGGGCAATTAGGGCTGGGCCACAGGAGTGCTCTTCATAGGTGTTAGCTGTTCAAAGGCCATCCTTGCTAATGTTGAAAACTGGATGAAAATGTGAAGACTTTTTCTTCTTCCTTAACAGCTCACAAAGAAAGTGAACAACATAGAGACGGGCTGGGCCCTGGGGGCCACCTTTCACCTGCTGCAGTCTCTGGGCATCACCAGCTGAGGCTACCGTGTCCTCTGAAGCCTGCATTTCTCAAAAACTTTGTTTTACAAGAAGGAGAGGACTCAGGCATTTTCTGAACAATTCTGGAGAAAGCCTGGACTGAAACCCATTAACTGGCTTTATTGGAAGGGAAGGGGTTTTATAGATGAGTCTTGCCCTTGAGCCTCGTGATTTGGGCTTACTTAATTTTGCACATCTACTGTGAACAGCTCCCTAACCACTTGGCAGGTGCACAGCTGGCACAAAAGTATAAATCTTTTGAGATTTTTTTGTATGTCAGAGTCCTGTGAAGAAAAAAGAATAGGCTTGGAACTCCATGTTAGATTGAGAGTTCAGAGACAAGTCCCTGGGAACCAAAGAAAAATCTCATTTCAACCCTTGGAGTGCCTCATTCCTTTGAGTGTTTCAGTCTTTTGCTTATAAGCTAAATTAAGCTGACCTACTGAAGTCCCATAACCTATCAATACTGATACTTTTTCTTCTTCCCACCCTTACACATTCCCTACCCTAAAACCCAAGGTGAGAACTATCTGGCTTTGCATTTCCATCTGTAATTCAAAGAGAAGGGAAAAAAAGACACTATATTAGAATTTGTGTGACCCTATGACACAATTTAGAGCTTAGAGTGGCCCTGGGTATTTTATTTTTAGACAGAGGTCATGTTACATTGCTCTGGCTAGCCTGGTACTGTGTAACCCAGGTTGCCTTGAATTGTCAATTCTCCTGCCTCAGCCTCCTGAGTCTTGGGTTACAGGTGTGAGCCGTCATGCTCATGTCATGTTAAATCTCACAAGATGAGCGTGCACCTCTCACCTGTGCCGACTAGAGCTGTGAGGAGGGCCGTCCCATCGAGAGGGCAGTTGCAGACCATGACTGCTGCCCGGTTACCACCTTATTCTCATGGTCCTAAACTTAGCATCTTTCTATTTCTGTGAAATACAACTGCACCCTAGTTTTGGTCTGTGGTTAGAAGTTAAGTGTGTGTGCTGTTGAGTCTAAAGATAATCAATGCTTTCAGTTTGTCCTTTTGGGGGTTGGGGTGTGGAAAGTGCTGGAGATTGAACCCAGGACTTTTTGCATGTTAGGCACAATGTGCTACCACTATGCTTTATAGTAGTGCTTTCTTGCCTGGGCCCTTGCTGATTTTAGCCACTGTTTTCTGAATTTATTGTCTCCCTCAGGATTTCATATCCCTTACCACTGATACCCAACATTTGATTTGATTGATTCTTTCGGCCCATGTCAGAACAAGGACTACCATTTCTAGAGAACCATGTTTTTCCTCTCGGGACTCTGTTTTGAGGTTGAACACAGATCATCATGCATGCTAGGCATGGGTGCTCTACTACATTATAAAGTCATTATCTTAAGGTTTTCTGCCAGGCAGAATTAAAGGTGGCACACACCTTTAATTCTAGCACTTGGGAGGCAAATCTCTGAGTTCAAGGCCAGCCTGGTCTATAGAGCAAGTTCCAAGACAGCCAGGGCTACAGAGAGAAACTCTGTCTTGAAGGAAAAAAGTCATGTCGTTTCTTGTGTGACTGTCATTGCTTTGCCTCCTACTCGGTTCTGGACTTGAAACATTGCCGGCTGCTCAGCAGCTCTGTCATAGCATTTCCCCTTCCTCTTTGCTTTCCAGTTTTCAGCTCCCCTAACTTGAAATTTTCGGTCACCCCCTCTTCCTTCCACTCTTCATAAAGGATATGACTATGCCTGGCTCCATGGCAGTCCCCAGGGAACCGTCTTTTTTAAGCCATTACATTGAGTCAATAAGTATTACCATCTGCTGTGTATAAATAGTAGGCAAATTTGTATATTCTTCCCAATTTTAGGGGTTTGTTTTGATTAAATGTGGAATTTCTTCAGACTTTGATACTAAGCTTGAGACTAGATTTCATTGTTGCTTAAGTCAGCCCATGAGCTTCTTGGACACAAGTGATCCTTTTACCTTGGACTCCCGAGTAGCAAGACTATAGGAAGTCATGCTGAGCCTGGCTCAAACTTCCATTACTAAGTTCACTTTCACTTACTGCCTTCTTCAAAACAACGTTCACCAGGCAGTGGTGGTGTACACCATTAATCTCAACACTTGGGAGGCAGAGGCAGGCAAATCTCTCAGTTTGAGGCCAGCCTGGTCTCCAGAGCAAGTTCTGGGACAGCCAGGACTACACAGAGAAACCCTGTCTCAAAAGAACAAATAAACAATAAACCCCATAATGCTCATACATAATGAAATAGATTTCCCACACTGGAAATAGCCTGAAGGTAAAATCCAGTTTCCTATGGAATGCATACTCAGTGTCTCTCGCAGGCTTCTCCATCCAGCTTAAGTGTTTGCCTCTCCATCTCGGATGTCACTGTTTACAGCTTCATTAGCTGAGAGCTACCTCCTTCCCTTCAGTCATCCTCTGCTTTCCAAAGCCTTTCAGACTCTTTGAAGATAACTACATTTTTATGACTTTTAAAAAGACACGGCATACTTTAAGACTTAAAAGTATTAGACCAGCCATAGTCCATTAAATGCTGTCACAGTTGAGAGAAGCCAATCTGCTTCCCCAAGAGTAAACTCTACAGCAGGCTTTACAGCACAGGCCTGTAATCCTAGCTACCTTGGAGCTGAGGCAGGAAGATTACAAGTCATAGGCTTTCTGTGTAGCCAGTTTGAGGCCGCTGGGCAACTCAATAAGGCACTCAAGAAGTTTTAGAAGGGAGAGGGGTTAGAAGATTTCAGTGGAGCTGGAGATGGCTCAGAGGTTAAGAGTGCTGGCTGTTCTTCCAGAGGTCCTGAGTTCAATTCCCAGCAACCACATGGTGGCTCACAGCCATCTGTACTGAGATCTGGTGTCCTCTTCTGGAATGCAGGCATATAAGCAGGCAGAATACTGCATACACAGATTTAAAAAGATTTCAGTGGCAAAGCATATTTAGCATGTCCGGTCCTAGATTCAAGCCCAGCACTAAATAAACAAAGTGAGTTCCTGGTCTTTCTACCACAGGTGACGCATGAAGCCTCAGAATAGGCACCCTAGCTGTGTATTGTCCTGTAGACACCTTCGGTTACCTTGGAAACTGCCAGAACTCTTAAATAGAAGGACTCTCACCTCAGAAATTTATCTGCATACATCCATCTTGACCAGAGAGCCTGCAGATTTACCTCTTTGTTCTTTTAAATACAATTTGGAGTCTTACATTTTCTTAGGAAAAATAAAAGACAAGGGCATTTTTTTGTTTCAAACAAGAGTTTTTCTGTTAGCCCTGGCTGTCCTGGAACTCCCCTGAAGACCAGGCTGGCCTTGAACTCACAGAGATCAGCCTGCCTCTGCCTCTCTAAGTACTGGAATTAAAGGCATGTGCCACCGCCAGGCAGCATGGGCCTTTTTTACTAAGTGGGTCCTATGTGTTCTGATGTTGCTGACAAGTTCCATCTCTGTGAAAGTGTAAATATAATTTAAATACCTGCGATGTGGTCTGGTGTGTGGTGGATGCTATGTGTATTATCACTATTATATGTAGAACATCTGAGTCACAGATGTCCTTACAAAGTGTGCCTTAAAGTTCTCATCTCTTTAACTTTTTTATTTTTCTGTATATTAGTCTGTATTCCTATCTGGGCTACCTTTTTGGAAAAGGTGACCTTGTCCTGATAGTCTCTGGCCATCAGTTTTTCCCAACAGCTGCCATCTTTTATTCTGGGGACGTTTTCTGGATTTACTGACATCAATTACCCTGTACTAAGTTTTCTACATTGTTTAAAAAGCTGTCCTGTTGCAATAGCTATCTTATCCCTCCAAAAGTTATTCCAACAGTTCAGCTTGATTGAAAGGAGACTTTCTTATTTCATCTTTTCAAAGCAGACTTCTGGGCAAGACATTCTGTCCAGTGTTCTTATCTAGCACAGGTAAGTTCTCTTCTGGAGGCCTCTCTGGTGCTGTGCATTCAGTACGTCAAAACCCCAAGTCAGAAACCACTCCATTAGCCACCTGCCAGCACATGTGGACAGGCTGTCCCTGAGGCCTCTGCAGCTGTGTGTGCAGTAAGGTTATTTATTGTTTTTAATAACAGAATCAACAGAAAATGACATCACAGAGAGGAGCTTAAACAAAACTGAAATGTATAAGAAAGTCTAAAGCATTAATAAGACCTGGCTGTTTCTTATCTTCACTTCCCCCTTAAAATCCAGTGTACTTTGTCAAAGCAATGTGTATTTAACTGGCATGCCAGTGTTAATTTTAAAACAATCTAACAAAAATGTATCAAGTATTTCTGATTCTTTGTCAAGATAATTGTATAAATTTATGACCTGTATTAAAATATTCTTTTTAGAAAGTATTCTTACTAAGTGAAATGAGGGATATACCAGCTCAGTAATTTGTTTGTTTAGTAATAAAAAGCTCCTTTCAATCAAATAGTTTTCCTTTGGGTTTTTTCCTTAAATATCACACATTTGTTTTTTTGGCTACACAGGCCCATTAAGCAGAAGAGGAAAACAGACATAAGTTCTAGTGTAAATTTATGAAGCCATCTTGGAAACGCACTCTGATGGTCACAGGGCTAGATGGTCTCTGTCATCAGCATCATCTCCAGGAGAGGAGCACTCACTTGCTGGCAAAGGCCATTATCTGTTCCTGGAGAAAGAGGAAAGGTGAGGACAGGTGACTTCATCATCAAATAACGAAGGTGACGAAGGGAGAAACATGGCAGAGGTTCCATACAGACACTCCTTCTAGGAGTCCCTGCTTTTTTTCAGCTCTAAGAACAGGGCTGGCAGGGCTCCCCTAGGACTGGCGTTACAGATGGTCATGAGCCACCATGTGAGTGCTGGGGATTGAACCAAGGTCCCTCTGGAAGAATAGCAAGTGTTTTTCACTGCTGATTCATTTCTCCAGCCCTCAGCCCTGTATTCTTAAGTCCTTCCTACATAGTTCAAGTTACTGCTTAGATGTGGGCACCACAAACCCAGCAGGTCCTTTTATTCATAACCAGCTAGGAAGGTAGACCGGGTATGGTGGCTGGACATAGCAGCACATGCCTTTAATCCCAGTACACAGCAGGCAGAAGCAGATGGGTCACTATGATATATATATAGTCTGGTATACCTAGCCAGTTTCAGGCTAGCCAGGACTACATACAAAGTTTCTATCTCAAAAATAACTACAATAAAAAATGTTATAGGCAAGAAAATTAATTCAATTTTTAGAATTAATAGAATTTTAGAATGTCTGCAATCCTTTCTCAGTAAAGAAAAATCTTGAAGAGCAGCAGGGGCCACTTACTTTGAGAGGAGACACTGCGTTAGTTGCCTGCAAGCCCCATGTCCTGAGCAGCACCAGTGGAGTGGCACTGGTTGAATAGAGCCTTTTCAACAGGTCTGTGGCAGCCAGAAGAGCAGTATTGTGACGCTGCCTGTCTGTTTCATAGCCTGTGAGGTGGCTCATGGAACCTGGAGTTAAAAAGCAGGAACAAAGGTCAAACCCTACTCAGCAGTAAAAGATCTCTTCCTCCTCCCAGTAGACACTACCACATCTTGCTGCCTAGGGCAATTTGGCAACCCTGACCTTTACATGATGTTAGGGTACCTGAATCCTTACCTAAGTCCTTCCCATTGAAGGCTGCTGTACTGAGATGACGAACCAAGCTGGAAATGTCCCCGAAGCCCATGTTGACACCTTGTCCTGCAAGTGGATGGACTCTGTGGGCTGCATCACTAAGAATAAAGCAGCATTCAGATGTGGCCTCCAGCAACAGAGAAAGGAGTGGCCTGCTCCATTATGGTCTTACCCAATGAGTGCCACCCGAGGCCGGACGTACTCAGCAGCATGTCCCAGTCCCAGAGGAAAGAGGGCTCTGCTTTTAGCATCCACCTTGGCTATACTTGGGGGCAACTGACGAGCTGAGACCCTAGTGGGCTTCAGGAGGCTGACGACATAGTGCAACATGGTGCTGGCTGAGTCGACGAAGTCTGTGTGGTTAGCATCACTCCACTGCATGCCATCAGCCCCCAAATGGTGAAAGTGGTTAGTGACTAGTAAACAGCTAAGGCCTCAACCCCTCTATATAACCAATGCTAAAGGTAATGCTGCTTAACATGCCTAAACGGGTCTTGTTCCTGAGTGACAAGCCCCTTAAAGCACATGCAAAACTCCATTTCCCAGTATTCCCCACGGGTTTTATCTCTGGGTTGGCCCCTGACTAGAATTAAACTTTACCTTTCACTAGTCCCCAGCAATAGCCACAAATTAGCTACAGTGAAGCTCACCTTATGTCTCTAAGCTTAGGTAAAGCGTAGAACGCCCTCCCACCTCTATCTCCCGGGAACACCTTTAAACCCTCCTCTCTGTCCGCATGCTATGCTCTGCATGCATACATCTGTTACTGCACTTGTCATTCTCTCTCACTTGACTGTGCGTCCTGGAGCTGATACATAGAAGGCTCTACCCGAAAGGTGCCGTGCAGCACAGGAATATACAGTGCATGAGCCACTAACCCTGGCAGGCCTTCACCAGCACAGCAGCCACAGCTTCTGTTGTTCTGCATTTCCTGCATGCCCTCACAGAATCTAAACCAAAGACTGCACTGGCTAAGGGAAACCTGCACAATTACGCCTTTCCCCGTCCCTCCAGTAGCTGGACAGGTGATACTCACAAAGGCAGAGTTGATGGCATCCACAAACTCTTCCTCATCCATGCTGACCAGCTCTGCGGCATGATCATGGGATGTGGACCAAACCAAGGAACTCAAAGTATCTGAGAGCTGTATCAAAAGAAGAGCATCAGCCTGGTGTGGTGGCGCATGCCTGTGAGCACAGCATACAGCAGGAGGAGTGTCAAGCCTACCTGGGGTATAGTCCTCAAAACAACAACAAAAACCTGCCTC